CAAAAAAAAAAGTGGGGGGGGGGAGGGATAATATACATTTTATTTTTCCTCAACACGGCACAATGATAAATTCTATGACTTTAAGCACAATTTTCAACAAAAAAAAGGAAAGAGAGAGAGACCTCTAGTATAAACCACAACAGAATACAAAAATTGATTTATTATTTTATTTTCAACTCTCGGCTTCACGCGTCAACATTTTTATGACTAATACTTCTAGTATTGTAGTCGGCACTGTTCCGTCCCCACTGATGATGGCGTCCGCTCTATATATTAGTCTATGTCGTCCTGCAGTGGTATATACAACAAAGTCTTTCCCTACCATCTCTACCATAAAAAATAAAGAGGCAAACTTTTCAGAAATAAATATACATTGTGAATGAGATTGCTTCACTAATCAAAACCCACCCACCCCTTGCTGAAGATAGAGTTTAAGCTGTATTTCTCTACCTTTTACATCCTTCCGTGCTCCCTATGCACACCCGCGCCTACGCCAGAATACATATCTAACAGTCTGTGCTCCCTATGCACGCCCGCGCGTACGCCAGTATACATATCTAACAGTCTGTGCTCAGTAGCTCGAGCGCACAGGAGGGCAGGGCTCAAGGAATTGAACAGACAAAAGAATAAATAAATCAAATTATAATTATAAATAGCATTTGTATAGCGCATATCCCCCCTCAACAGCAAGCTCTATGCGTTTTACACTATATCAACAAACAACCAAACAAACCTTTTTCGGGGGCGCTCGTGGCCTAGAGGTTAAGGTGTTGGCCTCTCATTCAAAGGTCCCGGGTTCGAATCCGGGTAGCGACCAAAAAATGTTCTTCTCTAAAATTGTCTCCTTTCACCTCCTTTCCTGCTCTCTAGCAATGTTCTGTTGTCTGCTTTCATTTCCACTTTCTGTCCCCACCCCCTCACCTCCTTTGCCTCCTCCTCTGGGCTCCTGACTCTTTCTGCAGCCTTTCTACTGCTACTCCTTGGCTCCTCTTTACTGCTGTCTTTCTGCCACACCCCTGATCTTCTGGTAGGAAAGATCTACACCTAGCCTTCTCGGACAAGGGCGAAAAATCTCGGAGGGCCCGTGTGCAAGTTGCGCATGTTAAAGATCTCTTGGTGGTCTTAAAATCGATAAGAGTATGGCTTCGGCCGCCACCCGGGCAAAATTCAAAATTTCCTACCAACTGAAAATATTATGTGTGTCCCGCGCGCTCATATGACCTATGCAGTTGCGAGTGCCGTAAAACACTTTACAAAAACAAACAAAAACAAACCTTTTTCCTCATGAGAGCAGCTGTGCTGGGAGGTTTCATCAAGGCGAACTGAGCCAGTAACCTTTCTCCAGTGAGCTCCCCTTGTTGGGCTCTCAGCGCCTCATCTTTGTCAAGGTCAGCTTCCAGCATCTCTTGGTCTTCTTCTTCATCTTCGTCCTCATCCTCTTCATCAGATTCATAATCCTCTCCATTTTCATCTAAAAATTGCACATTTGACAAAATAAAGCTGTATTTACTGCAATTCCATTGAAAAAGTTCAGTCTCGCCATACTAAACACATTCATGAGGAAATACAAATTAAGAACAGAAATGTTTTCTTCTATTGATTTATATTTTAGAGAATATGAAAACTTGGGTCCTCAAATGAAAACCAACATTAGCGTAGGAGCAGACTGAAGTAGTACCCATCAGACAAACAAAGAAAATATAAAACAACAACATAAATCTAATAAGCTACCTCCTCTCTTTTAATTAGTAGAAGTGTTACAAAGTCAGAACTCTGAAGACATATTACAGATTCAGAGAATGCAATACAATGTTGTACACCCTCCAAGGAAGAAATCAATACCAGCAAAAAGTAAAATCAGAATCCAGATAATTCACAAAACTAGATTATTTCAACCCCCCATTCCTCCCTTACTTTATCTGGAACCAAAGTACAAATCAGATGATTATATAACTTCAATTTCCTTTCCATTACACTCTGACTTTCTCCCCTCTCCTCCTTCCAC